TAATTATGAGTTTTACTGTCCACACAAGAAATTCGGTTCAATAGAGGAGTCAAAATAATTTGCTACACAGCTTTCATTGTTTAGGAACCGCTGATCTGGCTTTTATTCTTTAGAACATGTACTTAATACAGTAGTACCTTATTGGTAAATTTAATTAAAATTTTAATAGAAGTTAGTTGTAATTGTAATTTTTACTGTGAATAAGAATTGTAGCGATTCTGTTCAAATATGGAGTATAAACAAATTTTCCGCAGCTTCAATATTTTAATTTTTTATATTGAATTTGTATTAAGTGGCAAACTGAAAAAAATATAGTTTTAGGTTTTATTGTACACTAATCAGTGAAATTATTTGGTATGATAATAAACAATAATAAATAATAATTATTAATTTGTCGAATCAATAAACTTATTAGTATTTGATTTTGTGGGGTTTACCATTACATGCTCAACTTTACAAAAACTGTGATTTTACTATCCGTAGACACTATTTCTTTTTTACGTTTGACTACATCGTAGCTCTTAAAAATAATTCCGTTGAGGTTTTCTGCTATCCAGTTCTCACGGATTGTGAAAACCTCATCCGGACGATAAGTTTATCATTTAGTTTCATTTCTGGTAGGAAACCAAAATCCTGTGCGTAAAGAATCGACTTAGAAGTTGAGTAAAGTTGGGACTATAAAATAGATTAGAAAATGCAAATTTTAAAAGAGTTAGTGACCTTAATACATTTTTCGTACATTTCTTTATGCATTAGTTTCATACATATATTTTTATTTAATACATATGTGCATCCGTTAGCACGATAACTCGAGCAAAAATGATCAGATTTTGATGAAAAGTAAGTACAAACGTGTAAACCTACATTTATTCGAACGAGTTTGCGAACAAGCATGATCAGACTACGGGAACGGGGTTTGACCCAAAAACATAAAATTTAGCATTTTCTTTCCAAACAATTTTGTGGAGCTTAAAAAACATATACAATTTAGTATATTGAAGCGTTAGTATGCGCCTAATAGCACAGAAAACCTATGTTTTCTGTGCTAATAGTTAGGGGAAAATTCCGAAAAATTGTAAATTTAAAACTGCCATGTTATTCTTATGTAGAACATCATTGTGTTCTAGGCCTATGTGTTTCTTATGGATACTTATATATCCTATAAGTATACTGTTGGGGTTTGCTTGCTTATGGACATATTTTGATCAAATTTGGAACATGCATATATTTCTTACTAAACTATTAACATAAAAACACTTATACCATCCCTGTTGCAGAAAACTTAAGTACTCTTTAAAATAGTTATATTCAAATAGGGAATAAATGTGATATATTTAAGGAGACATTTTTGTGTAATCAGGCAAATGGAAATCCACTTAGTCTGCAGGTTTGCTACGGCGGGGGTTTTATTTGTATTTTACGTAGTAATGTATGGAAAGTTTATACTTTTATTAAACTGTAGTTTACTCTTTTCGCAAAACTCGCCTGGTAATACAGTGTTGTATTATAGAACATTACAAATACAGTTCCGTCAACAGGGCCAATATGACTAAATTGTCATTGAATAATTATTTACGAGCATGTTACTTATTTATTACGTGCAAACAGATTGTGCATAACTACTCTCACAGACTTTTGAAAACATTGAAATAGTCGCGATTTGATGGAGAATGAGGGTGCACAATAAGCTGTTCCAGCTGCAATCCCATGGTCCCTTGTAAGCCTAGCCCTATGTAAAAAACAGGCTCTCTAATAATTTGCTAATTTGCTAGAAATAATTAATTACCAACCTTATCATAAAACACAAATTCTCGTTTGAAAACAAAAGCATATTAGAAAAAAATAAACTAAATCTATTCTGGGCTAATGATGTTTTGCTCACCTAATAAGTGGAAACCCCGAGGATAATTACTTAAACAATTATTAGCAGCAACTAATTGTGCCTTTTGGTTGTTGTGTTTGGACTGCTCTAATTGTGAAGTGTTATTGGACTAAAGTCGACACAATGGTTCAGAGAAAGATTATGAATGTTATGTTTTGAGGAGTTAATTCGAATTAGATGTTTGCCCCTTAAAATTCCCCGTCCCTATAGTCTAATCATGGTTTGTGAACTCAAATATACTTAAAGTGATTTGAATATTTCTACAAAATTTCTTCAAAATCGGATGATTTTTTCATGTTGCTGTGATGGAACATCAAAACGAAAAAGTAAATCCGCCCCTAACCACTTTCTATCGACGCTTTCCTTGCGAAACTCTCCACAATTAACCTCATGATAATTGGGTTTGAGTTGACATCGCAGAGTTATTTTGTACTGATTATTTTAATTGCGTATAAAAGCACCTTCGTAATGAGACCCTTTTGTACGGAGTGTAGATAACGCTTAAATTAAACAGATTCTCACAGGTAACTGGTACAGCATGTTTTTTCAAAGCTTGCAGATCTAATTGCATCGGATTTCTTGCTAACGATTTTGGAAGATGTATTGTTGGAGTAACTACCACAGTATAATAAGCACATAATGAATAAAACTATTGGCGAATTTCCCAACTTAGGGCTCATGGTATCTAGACCCGGGACCGATTTGCTTTTCGTTTTAGAGTCCCCAGAGGCCAAAAACAATTGTATTGTAAGTCTGAAGGTTTGCTGCGGTGGGGGTATGTATATGTATTGTCAATATAACAATACTGTACTGTTGGTGTAACCAGTATATCTTCTGGTCACCCTATGGCAAAAGGTATATTGAAAACAAGGCAAAAATAAAACAGTGTATGAGTTAAAGGCTGGCCGAAGAGGAGTAGTTTATGAGCTTGGTGATGTTTATGATTGCAAACCCATTTCACCACCATTGAAATAGATACTTCAAAGACGTCTTATTAAATTGTAAAATTCAAAGACTGTTTCAACAGCGTTTCGTCCGTTTGAGTTTGTATGTCTTTTGAGTGCGCAGATGTCGATTTAAAGTCTTGCCTGTCATTTGGTGTAAATTTTGAAATTTAATATTCGATGGAAATACTAGAGGACGAACGAAAGTCTACAAAGAAATCTTTCTATTTGATCGTAATAGTTTTGAGATCGGTGAAATAACAAGAAATTTAAAGTGAAGCATCATAGAACACCCCATATGAGCATACGGGGCTGATACCCTTAGTATAATTTTCTTCACCTGAATATAAGGAAGAAATGTCTATTCAGTGTTTCATCTACTACAGGTCACATCTCAACAGTAAACTACCGTTATCAAACAGCAGTGATCAGTCGCGTTTCTAAAAGTAAACATTGTACGACGTTTCGCAGCAGTTTCACCCTTCTTCTTCAGGTGACATCGTGGTTGAGCCTCACGAACAGCAAATGTCACAGGTAATTGGTCGTTGTACCGTTGTGGCTTAATTGGGAGAGACACTATCTTGCGTTGCACAACTTGGGAAAATGAGGGGCACAGACCGCTGGGAGTTGTAACGGTGTATAGGGTGTTTTTGTTTTTGTACAGAAATAATTTACAGTTTGAAGTAGTTGTAGTAGTAGTACACATAGTTTGAAGTAGTTGGTATGGTTTTTGTAATCCGATTTTTAGAACGTTCCTTTAGAGGTGGAGTAGGATGATAGGATTAAATATTTTAACATGGTCTTAAGGCGAAAGCCTGTGGAAATTCTGACTGACTAATATAATGACAGACGAAATTCAATACAAAGAATGTATATCAAATTTTTAGCTCTACTATTGACGTTTGGACACTGAAGTATATACATCACACGTATACGGACCAGCTGTAAGCAGTTGTATATTTTTTAAATACCCCCACCGCAGCAAATCTACAGAATAAGTCAAATTTCATTCACCACAGATAAGTAACATGATAACATACAGTAGGTACTGTATGTTATGTTACTTTTGTACACGCTGGTGAATAAGAAGATAGTACTGTATTTTAAAACATCAAGTAAGATAGTTTGTATTCTAAAACTGGTTACAAATTTAATATGGCCATTTTGTAGTTCGTGGTAACGAGCCTGTTATTATATATCACATTATATTGTTCACAAAAAAAAACACACAAAACCAGTTTATTATTTTTTTCTCTCTTGTCAATATAACATACATATTATTAAATTTAATTTTCTCTCAATCAATGAACATTCTATGGCCTGCACTTTATAACAAACAAAAAAATAACTAACTGCATTTAAATAGATTTACAAGTTTTTGTTATTTATCTTTTTCGGTTGGTATAACATAAATGTAAAAAGGACAAACCTTGGACACAATAGTTTTAAAAATATTATATTCCGCATCGAGAGTTATCTAATTGTATTATGAATCTTGTGATTTTTCTTATTATCTCACTCTATTCTCTATTGCTAACAAGGTTTATTCATTGACTGAATAACGTTGACTGTACAACGTTAAACTCCTCACAGATTTGTATACGTTTTTACTGATTTCTGTAAACAAGAAATTAGTAAAACTTAATTTAATAAATTTTACCCAATAATTAAATGGCAAAAGCCGAAGCTAATCATATTGCAAAAACTAATATTTCTGCCAAACTATTTAGTAAATGATTCGCAAATTCCAATAATGAAACCTCCCGCTAATGAATCTTGGCTAATCCTACCTTTAAAAACCGCCTTTCCAAAAAATCGATTACAACCTTCGATTTTTCAAAAGCGCGCTCTCATCGCAGCCCCGGACGTTGATGGATACAGTTATTTCGGTCGTTCTGGGCAGAACACAATCAAGAAGTCCCCCTCAAAAATCGAGATCGCCGAAAGGGCTCTTAACGCACAATAAATCCAGATCGAATTTTGATAAAGGCCAGACGCCCACCTGTGTCTAACCGGGCGGTATTGTAGTAGAAGAAGGGGACAGAGAGGGAGAGAGTGTGTGTGAGAGAGAGAAAGGTAGATAGGGGGAGGGATAGAGTGAGAGAGTGAGATACCCTCCCCTACTACTCCCACCACTCAACTCACTTGTTGATCAACTCAACCAGTATCAGAGAGTTCTCCGTTAGTGCAACATCGCTGCTTCAGTGATAACCTTATCACCGAATACGGAAAAGGAGGCAAAACTGACTTTGCCAGTTTTCGACCTATTTCGCTTCTGCGGTATTTTCCAAAAGTGTCGCGATGTGTGACGAGTGACTGTGGCAGTGTTACAGTGCGAGCAGTTATATACTATAATGCGATGTGGTTCAAGAGACCAAGGGGCAGGCTAAGAGCTAAGGATCCCCCTGTTTATCTGCTTTTGACAATTTTCCTGTGGACTTTTACCTTTTTTGGAGCATCGCTCGCCACCGTGATGGGAGAGGAGTGCGATTGGAGTGGCAGGTTTGTTTTGATTTCGTTAACCTATTTAGTTTTAAGTTCTATTTTTCTTCTCCTTTTATACTTTGTACTTTATACTTTCATACTTTTTTTAAAGGTTGCTATATAACTGAGATTCTTGTTTACTTTTCTATTCGAGCAATTAGAGCTTTGTTCAAGGTTACCGTAAGTCTTCTTGGTCATGTTATGGTTCTTAACAACTTCAAACACACGATAAACCACAAGCTCAAGTTTTTTTCCTGTAATGTGAGTATGCAGATTGAATTACCGAATTGATAACTACACTACGTTCAAGGAGTTTATTCAATACTGCATACATATATAATACATCATTATAATTCTCTATATCTATTTAACAACTCTCCTCATCTTCCATACCAAGCATAACACTTAGACTATAGGTACATAATATTTGAATTAAAACACCGCTATATCAAATTTCTGGTTTATAATACTACAGAAGAAAGATGTATTTCTATTCTGTGCTCTCTGGTACACTATCTCTGTCTCAAGAACCAAAGAGGTTGAATTTAGACTAATATTTTCTGGCGCGCTTTGCAAGCCATGAAGGCGGAAGGGAGTTTTCAGGTAAGGATTTTTTCCCGCCCCCGAGTAGGATGGATTTATAAGGGCAGTGGCCTAGTTAAAGGACCAAAAAACTGCTTCAACGGATTGTCAAACTTAACGTTGCGATAAAAAAAATAATTACACTATTATGCTATCCAAGTCTCATGTTAATATGGTTATACCTTAGGAGAAATTGTAAACAAAACTTAGGCTTCCAGCTATTACCGTTAGGATTCCAGTTACTGCATACCGTTCATTCTGTTTAATTTTTTCATCTTTCAGTACTCAATCCATAAAGATTAGGCCTACTTGCGACGGAAACGAATAATGGCACATTGATTGCCTGGGTATCCGAGTGGTTATAGCGTTCGCTTTCAAATCTGATGTTTGCTGAATCGATTCATGATTCAGATGCCAATTTTCATAGGACCATATATTGATAACATTAGTAGTTCCTACTGCGTTTAATTAGTTATTAAATCTATCAAAAGGAGGGCGTTAGACAATAAGTCCGTTCGAACCGTTCCCTTAGAACGTAAAACCCCCTATTCTGATAACGGATAACACAATTAGACCTACAGTTTGCCAAGGAAAAGTATACATCTCAAATATGCTTTGAAGGATCCACTTATCACAAACATCATAAATACATCATACAATCTTAAATGTCCACGAGTCTTTGAAACTTTCCGGAAGGCTAACACCTGACGAAGGCCGATGGGAACACAAGAGACAGGTTTATGGTTTTATGGCTATATTGCCACTGACGTTACCTGAAGAAGGCAAGAGAAAGGGGATCGAAAGGTTGGTTTATTGAGGCCGTAAATGCTGGTGTAGAATGAAGCGAAAGTTTGACGAGGGGGTGTTAACGCCGTTAACGGTGCAAAACCCATGGATAAATATGGTGTCCGGAAAGATGGGGACGAGGAAACTTAGGGACACGGAAACTTGGGGACAAATCGGGTTTTGAGCCGAGGGGGAGGCAAACGGAGGCTGACTAAGCTCTGAGAACGACTCTTTAAATCGACTCGTTCTCTATTTTTATTGTACCTAGGTCTAGTCGTAACTACGACTTGTATTTATATCTAGTTCTATCTCCCCTTACATTTTTCACCTTGTTTAAATGGTTACTTTTGTAGAGCTTAGGGACAACAGATTTAGTACATTGAAGTGTTTTTGTAGGGTTATTTTATTAATCACGGAGTAAACTCGAATTGTAAATTATTATTCAAGCATACATTTTTTAAATAAAAAATACACTTGAATATTTCTAAAACAGTAGCTTCAACTTCGTGAGGATGTTATAGCCTCCAATTTATGTTATACGACCGTGAACATAGACGAATTTCTCTCGTTTGTATTAGAACAATAATACAATATAATTCAGGAACAACCCGTGACTAGCTATTACTGAGAAAGATTAAAGAAATACTTGTTGTAAAATGTAGTCGTAGGCATCTGGTACAAAGTATTCCACCTTTTGTTTAATCTAAGCAAACCCATAAACATTCAGTACTTGGAAAGGTAATGGAAATATGAGTGAACAGAATACAGCGATGTCCCGTTAATCCCCTCGCACGTTTCTCCGAATCGACTACATTTGCAATTTCTTAGATTTTCCTTTCAAACAGGCCAGTTATTGGGGTGTCAGGTCACTCGGGTCAGTTAACTTTTGTGTAGTTGCGAGAGTGTGATTGACCTCCAATTCCCAACCTAAATATTGTTTTGGTTTTACGTGGCAATCGCAAAAGAGGAACTCTAAGGATCAGCTGTTGATAAAACTATTTTTTTTTTGTGAATTCTTAAAAGTGGTAGTAATTTAGGCCTAATTTATTCCTTCGTCATCAGTATATACTGATTGAAATATTTATATAAAAAATTATCCAAACACTGATTTGTATGATATTGGACACGTTTTCTTTAATTCTTTACTGCAAACGTCACTTACCAAATACCAATAATGTGACGATATAATATTTCGTCTGAAAACAAATGCCGATCTGTTTAGAAACGTGTTCTTCCTACAAACTTGCACTTGTATCTTTAAGTTATAAGTTATTTACAATCAGTGACGTGTTTTGGAATCGCTTCCAGGACAATTAATTTAGTGACAAATTTTACACGTTCGTTATCGGTACAGGTTTTTGAAAAAAATGTATTTATGGTTCAAAGTACCAGTACAATCGGTACATAACTAACTCATGTCATAGACTCGCGGGCAAGAATAACTCTTAGTAGGGTCAAAGGAATCCGAATCAGAGTGAATCAATAGTACTAAGTCTTAACAAAGTAATACATTTTGATAAATTTTTGGTCAATTGACAATAACTTGTTAATCTAAATAAGGTGAACTAATGATCTCAGGATGAAACTATCAAATTAATTTAACCAGCAACAATTATATTTTAAGATAAAAAAACATCGAACAGTAGGCCTACATTTAAAACATTGTTTATGCCAAACCATGAGTAACAACGAATTCTGTTAGTTGGCAGCCTAACATGCAAGGTATGATGTTGGATAAGGCAAAAGTATGTAGGCATATAGTTATAACGCCAAGAATAGGAATAATCTTATTACCGTATGTCTTTCGCTGTGCGATCCGGTAGTGCCGCGAGGCGCGAAACTAAATTAAAATACCCCCGCCGCAGCTAACCTGCAAACTAAGCTAATTTCCATGTACCCGGCTTGAGTTCTACTAAAATATTCCATAAAAATTGTCAGATTTATTTCCTATTTAATTAACATTAATTTTAGTAAGTACTTAGGTTTGCTGCTACGGAGTATTTGCTACACTTTTATGTATACGAGAGCACGCCCCGTGGTCGAAAAATCGACCAAAAGTATGTATTGTACAAACTTCTCTATTTTCATCCCACACTGTAAATAAAACATGTGATTGGAATGTCTTCCATTTGTTTTGATTTTCTGTTTATATTGTGTTGTTATTTTGTCATCACCATAGCAACGCATAAGACCCATGTTAATTTTTTAAAATTTCAAATTCATTTTTTGTGCTTATTTTTGAGCCTATTTTGATTTATAAAGGGATTCTGCACACCTACAGGAAAATAGCTTTCTAACGGTATGCGTAGATTTTCCCTACGATACACACGAGCTGAGAAAAAAGGTTTTAAAGAAACATGCTTGCCTATTAATATATAGATAGATGCTCGTCGCCGTATGACTTATAACAACACCATCAACGTTACAGCTTCTTTGGCATAGTTATATTTATTTTACAATTTACTTTTTGTGAATATGACCGTAGACAGTTTTGTATGTGTACGCAAGAATTACGAGACATCCGTTAATATATTAAGGTGATAATTAAAATAACTACAAACTGACAAATCAGTTGTATACTCCAGGTATTCCGTATTCCATTTACTATGTGATTTTCTGTCTATCAGTGATATAGTCAGTAGATAGATTTCGTGGGAACTAGATAGTGACAGGATTATGCCGGGTTGCTTCATCCTCAAAATTGCAAAAAAAATCAAACTAATTATCGCTATTCCAACGCATTATGTGCTTAAACAAATAACATTTGAAACGATTATTTTTTTGTTTAAGAGTTCCTTCCTAATACACAGTATCATCGCATTTTAGTCTACTTAAAATACTTCTTAATTTTTTTAGGTTTACTGTTTGGAAATATTCAAATTATTATTTTGAAGTCAATCCCGTTACTGTAGCTCTCTGTGAATTGAAACAAGAGAACGATTCGTTCTAAAAGAGTCGTTTCAGAGCCTAGTTCAGCTAATCTCTCCCTCCCCCCGGTCGAACCCCTATTTGGCCCTAACTTTCCGTGTCCCTAACTTTCCTTGTCCCCATCTTTCCTAAACTCTCGTCAGCTGCTGTTCTGTTTTGATTTAGAGGGTGTGTTGTTAAAAAAATCTGTAAAATGGAAAGGAATCAACCAGGATATACAGCTTTACTTAATTTCCTTTTGGCAAAAGTTGAATTGGTTATATTTTAGTAAACATCTAACTTAATTTTGAATCATAAGTCGTTACCGATATAAGTTTACTTCGCGCGTTTTTCTACCGCTGTGAGAAGTAGAATACAATTTAATGTAATCGAGTTACGAGAGTCTAAAAGTCGTCATTAATAACAAAAATTATGGAAGACGCAAAAACACTACATTTTCAGAGGAATCACTACAAAAAGGGGGAATAATTTACGAACCACTATAATTGACATTTTGACACTAGGCTATACGGTAGTTTACAAAACATAATTACATTAAAAACCCAGTTTGCAATTTATGTAACAAAAATAAACCAAAGTCGAGAGTATTGTTAAAATAGCCCCTTTGTTTAACAAACTCTAACTGCCAGAGAAATGTTTAAACATTAGACTTCAAGGTAACATTAAATAAAAAAAAACTTATACGTAGAGCAGATAAAAAAACTATTAACTGTAGATCGAGT